GAGTCTCACTCTGAGTTAGCCACAATCTCCTGCACCTTTAATCCCTTTCCCTATTGGCTTCCTCCATCAGCCTACAAACAAGTCTCTGCTAATTCATTAAACAAATAAATAAAACTCTCTCTGTATCCCAGTCACCTCTCCCCTCCCATCACAATAGTTTCTTGAAAAAGCTATCTCCACTTCCTTACTTTTTGTGCCCTTACCTTTTCTAAGAGATTATGGAGGAAGAAGCCATACTACAGTGAATTAAGGAGAAAGTGGGAAGTAAAGAAATTGAATCAGCAATTATACGTAACTCTTATGCTCCCTCCCTCCTAAGCCTGGTCAGGCTTTCTGACTCTAAAGGCCTCACCTCTCTCTGGCTCCCTCCCTGCAATTCCTCCTGTAGGCCCCAACTAGGCCCTGTAGAGGTCAAACAGAGAAAAGGCCCCAGAACCTAGCCATCTCTCCCTCAGCCTGTGTCCTATCTCCTGATTCTCTGAACTGCAGATCCTGTTCTTCCCAAGGGATTCTGACCCCAGCTCAGTTTCCCTCCACACTACCCCTGCCATCACCCTGGAGACCCCAGGTGGTGCCTTAATGATGAGCTGCCCAATTGGGAGCCCATCCTAGGACTCCCAGAGCTTGTGATGCCACCCTACTGAATCATTCCCTCAACACAGGTCACTATGCTTATTCCATTGATCATTCCACCAGGCCACAGCAGGCTAGGTCAGGATGGGATGCTGAGCCACAGATCAATAGTCTGCAAGAAGCCTGGTCCCAGAGCTCTGGAGACCAATGATACTCAGAGAGTTGTTGACGGTAGAAGACACTCAAGTGGAGACGCTCAGCGAAAAGGCACTATGCAGAAGCTGGGTGGGAAGAAAAACCCTGAATTAGCCACAAAGAGAACGGGGAGAAGCCACACAGTTGCTGGCAGCAAGACACCGAAGTCATGACCACAGCCTCAAGGAGTGCGTTAAGATGCTTCATGGCCCTCTGCAGTTGAGAGGCCCAGCTGGGCAGCTGCTGAGAGGGTTTCCTGTCTCTCCTAATATCCCCTGAATCTCTAGCACCCACCCCTCCACTCTGGGCAACTGACCTCAGAAAGCAAAAGATGCAGTGTTCAAAGTTTTGACCACAGCCTGCTGGCCCTGTGGTCTCCTCATCCCTGCTCTAAGCCCCTATTGGCCCTATCCCCTCAGCCTATCACTTCAACACTCAAACTGCTGTGCCCACCCTGCCACATGGGCCCAGAAGAGCCCGAACTTTGTGCTTTCCTGGTGACTGGACACCCAGGCTACTGGACACAACAGAGAAGACCTTAAAATCCAGTGGGAGACGCAATTCACTCAACTCTTCACTGAGTCTACTACTGCCCACAATCCTGTTCTGGTTCCTGTACCCCACTGGCTACCACTGCAATCTTCACCGCTCTCCTCAGGCCCCTGACCTGACCATGGTGAACCTGAGAGTCTATGGCCAAGATGAGGCAGAAAAGGAACAGCAAGGGGTAAAAAGGAAAGGATGAGACCGGAAGGGAAAATGTGGGACTGAGGTTATGTTTTTAAGGAAAAGGCATATTTGTAAGCTGGAGTCATTAATAATGAGAGCAATTAACATTTACAGTCATCCCTCGGTATCCTCAGGGAATTGGTTCCAGGAGCCCCCATGGATTTTTTTTTTACCAAAATGTTTAAGTTTCTTATATGAAATGATGTAGTACAGTCAGCCCTCTGTATCCACGAGTTCTGCATCCACAGATATGGAGGGCTGAGTGTATACAGGCCCAGGTGGTATCTAAGAATCATATGTATATTCCTACATTTAATCCTCCTAACAAGCCTACGAGGTGAGCACTATATCTTGTTTCATGGATGAGAACACTAAGGCACAGAGCAGTAACTTGCCCAAGGTCACATAGCAGTAACTTGCTAGTGAGTGGCAGAACCAGGATTAAAATCCAGGCAGCCTGGTGCCCAAGACCATGATTTTAACCACTATACTATAATACAGGCATTCTTCAGAGATATTTTGGGTTCACTTCCAGACCACCTCAATAAAATGAAGATCTCAATAAAGCGAGTCACATGAATTTTTTGGTTTCCCAGTGCTTACAAAAGTTATGTTTACACTACACTGTAGTCTATTAAGAGTGTGATAGCATTATGTCTAAAAAAACAATGTACATACCTCAATTTAGAAATATTTTATTGCTAGAAAATGCAAACCATCATCTGAGCCTTCAGTGCGTTACAGTAGTAACATCAACAATCACTGATCATAGGTCACTATAACAAATATAATAATAATGAAAAAGTTTGAAATATTGTGAGAATTACTGAAATGTGACAGAGATACGAAATGAGCAAACGCTGCTGGAAAAACGGCACTGACAGACTTGTTCAATGCAGGCTTGCCACAAACATTCACTTTGTAAAAACTGCATTATCTGCAATGTGCAATAAAATGAGGTATATGCTGCAGATGGAGAAAAATGACCTGGCAGAGTCCTTAAACCAGCCCAAAACAGGAAGCAGCCAGCCACCCAGGGGTCTAGACACAGTCAGGTTACTGCTTGAGGCTTCTTATGGACTCTAGATCCTCCCAGCACCAACCCGAGCCTACCCTTCCTGTCTCTAGCCTGTGAGCTCCTGGGGGTCAAGAGCAGGGACTCCCACTCCCTTAATCCCACCTCCACACAGTAGGCCAAGCACAGGCTCATCAGACGAATGGGCAGAACCTTTATTTCCTAACCCACTCCTTGGACCTCTGTCAGAAGGTAGATCAGAGGCACTGTAGGTAGAAGGCAATCCAGAACCCGGCAGAGACACCACACCTGTCACTCTTCATAGCAGTCCCTTTCCACAAGCCAGAGGGAAGTGGAAGCAGGACAGGGAGGCCCACTTCTGTAGACTCAAGTCTTGTTGGGGGTGTTGAGCAGTTACAGAGGCTTCTCAAAGAAGGCCCAGCCATCCTAGACATTCAGGCCTCGAGAACAGCTTGCCAGCAGGTCTTCAAAACCGGGTGTCTCGAGCCCTTCTTCGGGGTCGGGGGCCAGAGCTGGAGGTAGGTGTGGGGCCCAAGCCAGGGGGTGCCCCCGGGGGCTGGTAGCCACACTCATTGGGGTCCAGTGGATCTCGGCTGAGCAGTACCCATACCGCAGGCACATGGCGGCGTACCGTGAGGGGATCTAGGCCTGCGTCGGGTGAGGTTGGCACCCAGCTGTCCTCGGTCTGCAGGAAGCGCAGCTTGGTAAGCTGGTGCAGGCCTGGTACCCGCCGTTTGACAATCTCAGCACAGCTGACAGCCTTGCCTGCAGCCCGGCCAGAACCTGAGAACACCACATGCCGAGCACTGCCGCCCTCCAACCGCCCCAGCGCCAGGCCCAGCAGGTTGCGGATTTTGCTGCCATCTCGGACCCGCATCTCCAGGGTATCAGGCGGTAGCTGGGGCATCGGGGAAGGTGCTGGGAGTTCCACAGAGCCAGCCTTCCGGTAGTGCTCCATCCGGCTGCTGTCGTGTCTGAATCTTGCTGCCCACTGCAGGGAAGTGTCAGAGGAATGCTAGGCAGGGTGCCCTGGGCCACCCCCCACCCCCCACCCCGGCTCTCTAGGACGTGGGCCCACTCCTCATCCCAGATTTCCCAGAAACAGGACCATATGCCCTCATCCCCAGGACGGGGGGCCACGCCTGCCTCACCCTGGGAGGGGGCTGTACCCCATTCCTCTGGACAGGGCCATAACCCTCCCCCGACCCCGGAGTCCCTGCGACAGGACCAAATTCCCCAAACGCTGGCCAAGCCCCCTCATCCCAAGCTCCTTAGCACTGGGAATGAACTTCCCTCATCTGGGGCTCCTGGGGACAGGGCCCGGGCCCTCACCCGAGACTCCCTGAGAACAAGGCTGAGTGCTCCTCACCCTGGGCTCTCCAAGCGGTGACAGGGACAAGGCCCCTCACTTCGTGCCCCCAGAGGACAGGACCAAGCCCCTACGCCACAAGCTCGCCGACACCGAGCCAAGAGCCCTCATCCAAAAGCTCCTCAAAAACAGAAGTGACCCCCTCCCCCGCTCCGGGACCCTTAGGACAGGGCCGAGCACCCCTCACCCGGAGATTCCCAGGGTCGATCCCCCCAACCCAGGTCACTCAGACACCCAGGAACAGGGGCTTGACGCCGAGGGCTGCTCGAGCTAACCCTGGCGTCGAGTTCGCCGGCGGCCGGGCTCGGCGGTCCCCACCGCCACGGGCCGCCCTCAGTGCCCGGCAGGCCGCAGCGGCCCAGCAGCCGACCTCCCCACTCCTCCCCGTACCTCCAGGAGCCCCCACCCCACCGGGCTCCTGCTCTCACCACCGCATCCGAACACTCCACAAGCTCGATCCGAAGCCAAGATGGCGTCTCCCGGGAGCGCGCCGAGGCCGCGAGGCCGCGCTCGCCGGACGGGGCGGGGCCTGAGGGGCGGGGACCCCGGCGCCTCCGCCCGCAAACCGAGAGGTGGGGGGACGCCGGAGAGTGAGCTGGGCCAGGACGCGGAGACTCCGAGCGCTCGGGCTGTCTCAGCTGTTCAGCCCCGGGCAAGGAGCACTCCTATTGAGGCGGAGAGAACCCTGCGGAGGAGAGGAGCGGCCGTCGGAGGAGTCCCGCGTCCGAAGGATGCGGAGGATTTGGCCCTTAGAAGATGACAGGGAGGGCGTTACCCGTTGAGCACACCGAAGCAGCAAAGGCGGAGCAGCGGCTTTCACTTTGGACAAGAGCAAGAGGTGCCGTTTGAAGTGGCCGCTGCTGCGGGGGCGAGAGCCTTGGCCAGCGAGTTCTGAGCTTGGACCTCACCCCGTGGGCACTGGCGAACCACGGGGCTTTTTCATCAGGCGCAAGTCAAACCAGTTCGTGTGCACAGCGCACTGTGGCTGCAGCACAGGCGGGGGCGGGCCGCAACCGCTGGTGACTCCAGCCCGCAAAATCCCGGGGGCATGTCTACGGAGATTCGTACGTTGCTCCGCGTATAATAAGCGCTCAAATATTTGTTATAAATCATTTATTGAAAGAATGAACCAGAGAAACAGCAGTGGGAATGGGGAAAAGTAGATTAAGTTGGAAGATACCAGGAGGTAGATTTGACGACTGTTCGGACGAAGAAGGAGGGAAGAGTCTAGGATGACTCCCAGTTTCAGACGTGCTGAATTTGAGATGCCAGTGAGACCCTGCTGGTGGGCTGGTGGGCTGGTGGGCAGGCCAGATGGAAAGGGGCCTGGAGCCACAGCAGTCCCTGAGACCACAAGGGGGCAGCAAATACTTGGTGGAGTGAGGGACCATCAGTTTCTCTGCTCTTTAACATGCTCTCCTTTCCAACCGTACCACCGCCCCCCACGGCCCACCCCCCAAAAGCCCCCTGCATCCAAACCTCTTTTAGTCTCCCCTTCTCGGCTAATAGCACCAAGTAGGCTCCCAAGAGAGAAACTTAAAGGCTCCCCTCTGCATTGCACATGCTGCTCCCTTGGCTCTCAAAACGCTGCATGTCACCCTCCAGGGCTGCTTCCCACATTCCTTTTTCTTCTGTGCCCCCAAAGAACCCTGGTGCCACCTGTCCCTCCCCTTTTCCTTGACTGTCTCCTCAGCTAGCCTGTACAGGGTAGGAATCAGGTGGACCCTACCTGTGTCCTCCCCACCTGGTATGGCATCTGACATTTAGAGTGTACTTGGTAAATGCGGGATAAATGGATACATAAAGGAATGTTCCACTCACATCAAGCAAATGAGAGCATTCATCCTGACAGCTTTACCTCTCCCGGAAAGCCAGACTAGGACGAGTATAGCTCTCAGTCCAACTAGGAGGAAGGCCAACAACTCTGGCCTATCAACCTCATCCCCACCACCATACCCATACAACATCGGGAAGCTAACACACACCTCCAGTGATCTGTACAGTTTATTGTCTTTGGAACAGGATACTGATGAGGGGAGGGGGTGCAAACAGCAAATCTCAAGTAGCCAGACCTCTGACCCCAGAGCCCCACCTGAGTGCAGACTGGTAGGCTGTGAATCCAATAAATACAGAGCTGCCTCTGCTCTGTCCTGTTACAAGGGCAGGTTGGCATAGGGCCTGGAGCCTGGCTGCCCCGGCCCACCCTAGGATGGGAAGCAGCCATCACTCCTCTGCTGGCTTCACTTGCTTGGCAGCCTCTAACTGGCAAAGTAGCTCATCCCACTGCACGAACTGCTTGGAGAGAAGCATTGTCTGGTCACAGGTCAAGGTGAGAACGGGCATCTGAGAGAGGGAGTGGAGAGGTTTGCATCTGCCTAAAGTGTCGGGGAGCATGGGGATAGGCAGGCTGGTTGGGATGGGATGAGAAACAGAGCGAGAAATGGAATAAAAGGACAGGGCTCCGGACAGCACTCCTCGGGGGCCTGGCTGAGCAGAAAGGATACAGTCTTGTTGTATTCCTCTAGGAGAGCCTTGGACTCCTCAGTGATCTCCACACACTGGTCCTGTGGAGCCAAGGTGTGGCAGAGAAAGGAGTTGGACAAAGCCCCCGCTTCCCACTGCCCACCTCATCAGGGACCCTAGCTCCTCACAGAGCCTAGAAAAGGTAATGTTTAACCCCAGTGCCAAAAGGAGCAAATTTCTAAAGAGGCACTTTCAGGCTCCAGTGTGGGTAGCCTAACTGCAGTCCTAAGGCTGATAGAAGGGGGGGGGACGGTGAACCACACATATAAGCAAATACTCCTGCTAGAATATGCCTCCTTCTCCCTGTCCCCTATTTCTGAACCCTCCTTGACCTTTACACTAGGGCCTGGGAATAGTGAAAAAACAGCTCTTCTACCATAGTTAAGGACACATCATCCCCAGGAATTCATGGGTACCTCCCAACATCAATCTGATACCTCCGGGTAGCCCTACTCTGGGAGGCAGGAGACCTGGATGTGACCGTAGGCAAATCCCTTCCCTTCTGGAAGGCAGATGGAAGACAAAGGATAAACCCTAAATTCCCCCGGAAGCTGACATCAGGGAGGCCTGAGGCTGCTTCCCCAGGAGGCAGGGGTGGGGACTAGGAGCCTCACCACCTCTACTTTCCCCTCCAGGCCTCTCCCCTCCCATACCTGCTGCTGGATGTGGATCTGGGCCAAGCGCTGCAGGTGGGCGGCATGCTCAGGAACGGCTGTAAAACACAACGCACACTGCCTAGTGATGCTTGTGCCTTCCCCCGGGACTGCTCAATAGTCTATTAGGTCTTCGGTAGGATTAGAGTATTGAGTGGAGAAGCTAAACAAACGCCAGCTTCATCGACCACTGCTTCTGGACGTGGTGGTGGGACTCCCTGCCCACCTCAGTCTTACTCTAGGACCCAAAGGGGAGGGGAAGATGCAGGCCCCTAGAAGAAGACAAAACCCTGGGGTTCCCAGAGTTGCCCCATACACCCACCCCAGGGCTGTGAGCAGGGCCAAGTAAAGGAAGCTTTGATTATCATGGGATCTGTTCCTTTGCTCTCAGCCCAGCGGGACCAGGTCTGCCGGGCCTAGGGAACAGGGAGCCTGCAGGTGGACTGAGGATGAGTGCCAGGTCCCTAAGCTGGCCACCTGGAATCCAACACCCAGAGCCTCAGCAACCATGCTGGGCCCACAGCTTAAGGGTGTCAGATGCTCAGCAGAAAGCTGATCAGGGGTAGGGAGGGGGAGCTGGGAAAAATACCTCTAGAGACAGACAAGATGGCTATCTGGATTCAATTAAAGTCACTGTCTGCTTGTCAAAACCCAGGCCTAGGAACTGCACTAGGCAGTGCGGCAGGAAGAATTCACACACATTGACACACCTGGCAGGAACTCTTACAGTAAAATCTGGGCTCTGCAGCACCCTGAAGGACAGATGCTGAGGGGTGGGGTAGAAGACAGAAGGAATCCCAGAGTTGGAGGTCGCTGGCCTTACATGAGTGTCCTTGGTGCCAAACTGCCTGACATTCTGAAGCTGAGCTCTCTGCCCTGGAAATTTTAATCCCAGTGCAGGTGTCTGGTACCCCCAGGGTGAGATAAAGACAAGGAGCAGAGCTAGCCTGAGCCCAGGAAAGTCCTGCCCATCCACCCACCTCCCCAAGTAGAGTAGTGGAGCTGCAGCCCCAGAGAGGTACCTTTGATATGAGTGCTGTCCAGCATGGGCACCAAAGCCTCCACCTGCTCCAGAAGCGCAACCTGGGAGAGGATAAACTGCTCCTCTGAGGCATAAACAGAAAAGGCAGTGGCAGTGAGGCGAGCCTGGGCACAGCCACTCCCATGCAAGGGGCCGATGAGATGGCTGAGCCTGGAGCTTGGGGCAGCTAGTCTGCCCACTGCCCCCTTCGCTATGTGCACATTCCCCCAATCTGCCTCCACCTCTCTTGGATGCCTCTGGTCTGACCTATCTTGAGCCCAAGGAGCCTCTAAGTTCCTCCAAATCCTACCTTTCTCCAAGTTTTAACTCTGAGGCCCCTTCCTCTAGCTTCCTATCAACAAACTCAGAGCCCCTCCTAGGCCACAGGAAACAAAGTACTTCAGACTTGGGTACCCACATGCAAGGGCTCCTGGGAAGGTCTGAAAGAGGAGACGTGGAAAACTACCAGGCAGGTTCTGCTCAGTGGATCTGAGAGGCACAGACAATTACAAGTTCCTGGAGAGCTGGGACACTAACAGGACAGTCCAGTGAGGAAAGCAGGACTGGAATGACCCTGTGCACAGGGGGTTTCAGTGGCTGCAGAGTGGGAAGGGCATTCAAGAAGGGAGGACTGTTATGTCAAACATTTGGAGGCAAGAATGCTTGTCAATTAGTCGAGGAAAAAGAATTCATTTGGATGAACTGGAGCAAGGAGAGCACAGGAAACAGCTAGATGGGAGGGTAGATCTGGAAGTCTATAGAAGGCTTGGAATGGCATGCTAAGGAATTAGGAATTTATCCTAATAGGGAGAGAGACACACACACACTGAGGTTCCAAACTAAACAAAATGGCATGTTGGAAATGTGCTTTGGGAAGATGATACTGAACCACATGCAAGAAGGGGAAGACTAGGGTCAAGAAGAGGACTTAGGAGACTGCAACTATTCATGTACAAGGGGATGAACACTGAGGCAGTGGCGACAGGGAGGCATGGAGAGGCTGGACTTAAGAATCAGTGCAGGAGGGACCTCCCTGGTAGCACAGTGGTTAAGGATCCGCTTGCCAACTCAGGGGACACGGGTTCGAGCCCTGGTCTGGGAGACGATGCCGCAAAGCAACTAAGCCCGTGCGCCACGACTACTGAGCCTGCGTGCCACAACTATTGAAGCCCGTGCGCCTAGAGCCAATGCTCCGCAACAAGAGAAGCGACCGCAACTAGAGAAAGTGCACGCGCAGCAATGAAAACCCAACGCAGCCAAAAATAAATAAATTAATTAATTAAAGAAAATAATAATCGGAGCAGGAGAAGACCTCCTGAACTTGGTGTCTAAGCCACAGCAGTGGCTCAGGTATGTTCTGGTTCGCCATTGTATACCTCACACCTAGGATAGTCTGGATCACAGTAGATGATCACTTTTGAATGCATGAATAAACACAGGTGCTTGGCAAACCATACCTCGTGGAGTGGCTAACTAACTGATAAGCAGACATTGCTAAGACAATAGTTCCTGCCTAGAATTCTGAAATCCCAGCGCTTTCTCACATGAAAGAAAGATGTTGAAACTCATGCCTATAACCTCGCCTCTCCCAAATGCAATGCTCTCTGCCCCTACCCTTTCTTAGAAGCTCCTATGTCTACTGAGCAGAAGTAAGGAAGGTTCCGAAGGAAAATCCTAGAGGCAGGCCATAGATAGAATACCGGAGTAGCTTCCACTGTGGCAGGCACCATGGTCTGCAGCTGGCTCTGAAGTATACTGTACCCAGTGCCTACTAGAGGACCACAGGACCACCTCCAGCCTCAGTCCAGAACCAGGCCAGATTCCAGAAAGCAGCTTCCAGGGCTGTATCCAGGAGAGGGCGGGCAGGGAAGCTATCTCTGTGCCCGACTTCCCCCACAATCCACATCCCCAGATGCATATGCACATACTGTCCAGCACTACCTGCTAAGATGAACTGCAGCTTAGAGGCATCAGGTATGGCAATGCGGTCAATGTACTCAGGATCCAGGTATTTGATCAGGTCTTCAACTAGAAAAGTAGCAAGATGGAAAATGGAATAAGGTTGGGGAGTGGGGATCTGTCTTGTGAGGGATATTAGGGGAGGTGTCAGCCTTGGGGAGACCCTTGAGTGAGGAGCTGACACCCTCAGCATCCAGCAGGCCTCCACCAGGGCCCCTATCCCCACTTCCCTGTCTCTACCCTCTGATCACCTGCTGGCCAGCCTCAAACTTTAAAACCCTGGGGCCCTCAGCATTCCCACTGATCTATCCTCAAGGCTGGAAGGCACCTTGCCCCTCAGTGCCACCAAGACATGCCAGAGCTTTATCTGATTTCTAGTTCCTCAACAGGTTGCTAGCTCTGACATAATCAAAAAGGGCTGGTTGAGCCAAGACTGGGGCTCTCAGTGCCTGATTTCTTTCCTGCCTCTGAACCTTGCCTGTGGAAATTGCATACCCCTCGTCCCTCCTTCCCCCAGGGGACCTTTCAGGCAGAGCTCTTATCCCATAACTTAGGACATTGCCATGGGCTTGGGGTTTCACCACAAAGTAGAAAGCACACCCCAATTCACCATTTCATCAGGGCAATGTCTTCACCTGTTATCCCCAAAGGGCAACTCTAGTGACCTACTAGGCTGAAGAGCCTGGGCAGGGAACCAGGAAGCACAGGCTTGGGAAGGAGAACAGGCAGACACCTCATGGAAGCACTTACTCTTTTTGTACAGAATCTTCACCCTCTCCCTCTTGCTGGCGATGTTCCCCAAAGCCACCTGCACCTTGACCAGGCCATCGGCCACCTATTGGGGGAGTGGAAGTTAATTCCATGATTTACCACTTGGCTCAAGTCTTGGAAGACATAAGGAACCCTCATTCCCTCAGACTCCCAAACCTCCTTGTCCCAGCTATCGTCCCCTTCTCTAGTATTAAAAGAGATTCAACCCTACCTTCCGGGAATCCTCAGTGTGAAGGGGGAGATAATCATGTACTCCTTGGGGAGTTTCAAGTGTGACTGGGGAGGTGATGAATTACTTTAGAGTTTATGGGGCACTAGCATATACTATCTATTCCCTGATTCCTCCTCTTGGATGAACCTACCTAGGCTTTAAGGGTAGAGGATGAGGAATTCCAATATTAAAGGGTTGAATAGAGGGAGAGGCTACGGAAGTGTATGATATCACACAGGTTTTAGGTTAGAGGGTAAGGAATGACAATATTCAAGGGTCAGATATATGGGGAGGCAAATAAGACTGCGTAGAAGCAGCCAGAGACGTAGGAGGAAAATCAGGAGGATTTGCGTCATAGATGTGAAAGGGAGAGAATGTTCTGAGAAGTCAGTTCTCACATGGGACACAATCTGTTAGTGACAACTAATTCCACAAGAAGTGTACAAACAGACATCATTACCTCTGAGGCACTCAACTCCAGGGTGTGCCTGACACTCCACCTTCAGTGAAAAGTCTTTCCATAGTTAAAAAGGGGATGGAAGGGAAACTGAGCTGCACACTTGTCAAAATTCAGTCACTGGTGGGAAGGAGTGCCAGTCCATATCTGAACACTCAGTACCCAATCCCTTCCCCTCCTAATCCCGGCCCTCCGAGACCACACCTCTAACCCCCTGAAGCCTTCTTTAGCCACCTCCGGTCTGCCTCTTTTGGGGTCCTATGGACCTCTCTTTACACAATTCACTTAGCAATTACGCAGGGCTCCACAACGGCCCTTCCGGGCTTCAGCTCTTACTGAAACTCTGATTAGTCAGTTTCTCGAATGTGTCAGGTCTCCCCAACTACCCCGCGAGGGCAAAGGCGGAGTCTCCACAGTGAGCCCACCTCAGACTCACAGTGCCCTCCGTGGGAATGGCCTCCGAGGGCCCGATATGCTCCGGGAGGTCTCGAACCTTTGTTATTTCAAAGGTCGGGCTGCGGGCAACGGGACTCTGGAGCGGTAGCATCCATCTCGAGGACCAGGCCAGCAGACGGCTGTTGCTTTGCCCCAGAGAGGGACCATTGGACCCCAGATAGCTCACCTTCCGCGAGCCGCGAGACCTGCCCGGCCCGTACACCCAGCGCTCCAGCTCCTCCACACGGGCCTGTAGCCGCTGCACATCTGTCACAGCCGCCATAGCTCCCGCCGCTCCGCCTCAGCCAGGAACAGCCAGAGGGCGGGACGTCCGTCCAAATAGAGAAGGCGGGCCAATCCGAGTGGATGGGCTCCCCTGCATACAGGAAGTGATGCCACGATTCAGCCCTTCGATGCCGGAAGCGGCAGGCAGGGCCGACGAAAGTTGTCAAAAGCTGTCTAGTAACCTAGGCGACGGCTACCCGTCAGGCTCTACCTTAACTTCCAGCCCCTGCTCGTCAAAACAAACTTTGCCTTTATTCCAGGGTACCAAATTCCAGGGTACCAAAGAGGTTTCCCTACCCCATTCTCCGAGGTTGCATATATAAATATACCCATTATTCTAAGATTGGTCCATTCCCATAGAATAGTAGGAAGCCCCGTGAGTCTTCCTAAGGTTCAAGTTGGAGTCTTCTAAGGTTCAAGCGATTAAGTGTCGTGCCAAGGACACTCAACAGTGTAGTGGCAGAATCGGGATTTGAACTCAGGCAGTCTGATTCATGAGACTGAGCTCTCCTACTCATGGCCTTTGCTATTCTGTCTTCTCTGAGAACCCCTGGCCCAACACAGCCTGTGCATACCACATAATTCCTCCCCGACCCACAGGCCCAAACAAGAAGGAAAGGAGGCACTGGAGAGGGAGGGACCGCAGCTTTATTATGCAGATGTGACCTGAGGGACATCTTCACAACACCCCAACTCAACCCTTCACCTGGCTCCTGAAGAGAAGCAGGTCTGACTTGAAGAGGTGGAGTCCTAGAGATGATATTGACACAAGGGAGCACATGAGGAGATGATGGGGGTTACCGGGGTAAGAACTCTTTGGTAGATGCTGCTGGAGTTGGCCAGGGAGGAGATGCCCTCCTTTTGCAATGAGGTAGATGTAACATCAGAAGAAATCTCTTTGGCTTCAAGTCCACATGGCATGGTTGAGGGGGGGAGTGGCCATTCCCAGGTCCTAGAATGGGCACCTTGGAAGAATGGGTTGGAGGGGTGTCTCCTCCCCCCCTCAGCAATGGGGTTGGGACTCTCAATTTCAGGTGTGAGCTCTCAGGGTGAGGCGCTGGAAGGGGGCCCCATCAGGGGTGGGGGTGCAGGGTTGGCTGGGCCCTGGGAAGCTGGCACGGGCTGGCAACGGGCAAAGAGGACGCCTGGCAAAGGGGTGAGGAGATGGTAGAGGGAAAACACAAGCAGAAAAAGGCGAGGCAAAGAAACAGAAGAGGGAAAAAAAAAGTCAGTGTCCTGATTGCTAGAACACCACACACAGAGCCCTGCCGTAACCAATGACGAAAAGCCCCTCGAGTCAGTTAGAGACTCCTGTGCCAATACAGATACCCTCCAACAACTAAACAAGAAATATTTACACTGATACATAGGCCCATGACAAGACATCCCATGGTATTCATGCCAGAGAGGTCATGCCTTGGATCCCATGCCATGTAGACACCCCCTTTAATCCATGCCAGTGTAGCAATCCCCTGAACCCCATGTTACCCATGCAAGTTTGGATATCTCTGAACCTCATGCTAGTAGAAAAAGTCTAAAATCCCCATGCCAGTGTAAATACCCCTGACCTCATGCCAGTATAGACAGCCTGCAGTACCCATACCAGTGTAGACCACCCCGTTGATCTCTAGGGCCATGTTGATACTGCTGATACCACTGCCTGCCAGATTGAGAGGCCCATCCAATTGCTCTTCTGTCCAGGAGGGGGCAGGGGAGTCACATTTTGGGGAATCAGACTTCAGACTTACAAGCTCCCCCCTCCATCCCTATAGAGAGCCCCCATTCCAATTCCGCCCCACACCTGTAATCACAGAGTTGTCTACTGAGGGATCTATCTGCCCCACCTCCAATGCCTATGGGGTGATGGGTCTGTCCTCCCTCATTGTACAGGCCCTAAGCCCTCTCAGCAACAAGCCCCTCCTCACCCCTCAAGGGAACCTTGCCACGGGGCAGGAAACTGGGGGGTGCGCCGTGTCGAGGTGGGTCCATGGGCCCCATCAGCACAGCCCTCTTCTCTGGGGGCTCCTCTGGTGCCACCTTCTCACGTGCAGGTCCAAAGGCTAGGCCCACAGGCAGTGCCAGTCGAGGGGTTGGAATTCTGCTCTCCTCTGAAAAAACAGGTCATTTAGCTCCCCTGACCCAACCAACCCTGTCTCTGCATCTGGTTCTCCCCACAGGCCTGGGACCAAGGGAGGTCATCCAAGCTCAAGCACCAAGTTCAATCTCCCCTCCCTTCCAGTCTCCGAATAGAGGCTCTGAAGCTGGAGAGCCCCAGAAGGCCAATATATCTGACTAGGTTTGTCCCAGACAGTTTGGGGGATTTCCTTGCTTTCGGTTGTTAAATAAGCCAGGAAAAACAGGAGGCATAAACCACATGCAAATAGGATCCCTGGTGTTGAATGAAGCTGCTCTGGATAAAGTACCTTTTCCTGAGCTTCAGGCCCACACCGCAGTAACCCATAACCCAGAGCTCCCAAGGACCCCTAAACCTAAGCATGCACCAAACCTCAGTGCCCTGTCAGTTCTTACTGTCCCCATACTTCGATGTTCCCACACCTCAGAGTTTCCACGTTTTAATGTTCCCTATATCTCAGCCTCCCCCTAGGTCTCCGAGACCCTCAAAGTTCAGGCGCTCTCCCCTCACACCTTTCTTAATGGGGCTCGGGCTCAGCTGCGCGCAGGCGTGCGCCGGCAGGCCGGAGGCGGAGCCCCGAGCAGTGCGGGGGCCGGGCGTGGGCGCGGGAGGGGCGGGCCCGGAACCCGAGGCGGGGCCAAGAGTGCCCCAAGGGGACTGCCCCGCCAAGCCGAAGAGTGGGGCGTTGGTGTAAGCTTGACGACGGCCTTCCCGCCGGTTGCTGTCGATGGCGGCCTGGAGCTCCCCCGGGGAGCTGAGCGCCCGCGTCTCGCACTCGTACGGGTACAGATACTTCATGTACCTAAGGGCGGACGGGGTGGGGTGGGAGGCTGGGCCCAGCTGATCAAGCCCCACCCCCGGACACGAACCCCCGGGGCCCTCCGCGCCCCGCGCCCCACCCCCGCTCCCGCGCCTTGCTCCCACCGCTCGCGCGCGCGCGCTTGGCCTCACTGGGTGCGTAGAGTGAAGGCGGCCGACGTGATGGTGGTGGGCAAGCTGAGGCCGCGCGTTACCTCCCGCCACACCTTGCGGTTGATGACTTCCACCAGACCGCCCTTGGCCGTCACCAGGCGAAACAGCGCGTACAGGTCCAGCACCTGCTTCGCCATGATGGGCACACGGTTCACTGGCGTCCCTGGTCGGGGGGTTGGCAGAAAGTCAGGACACTAAGACGGAGACCCTGTCTGCGGGCATCCTCAGGGACTCGAGGAGTCGGCTGCCTGGACCTGCCTGGGTGAGCCCCAGGTACAGGGCGGGACCGTCAAGAAAGGCGGGGAACAGGGAGTGATGGGGAGGTGGGATTGCAGGCAGAGCCCACAGAGCCCCCAAGGCCTCCATTGTAGTAGGAAGGGTGGGAGGCTAGACCAGGGGTTGGCAAACTTCTTCTGTAAAGGGCCAGATAGATGGTAAATGTTTTAGGCTTTGCAGGCCAAACAGTCTGTCAGAACTAATCCACTCTGCAACTGCAGCCTGAAAGCAGCTATAGAGGATATTTAAAGGAATGAACGCGGCTCTGTTCCAATAAAACTTTATTTACAGACTCTGAAATTCGCATTTCACACGTCCAGAAATGTTATTCGTCTTTTAACTTTTTTCACTATTTAAAAATGTTAAAAACATTCTTTTCTCATGGGCTGTTAGATTTGGCCCGCAGGCTTTAGTTTGCCAGCCTCTGGGGTAGACCATAGGAAGGACTTCCTGACTGTGCTGAAGAGCCAGACTCCCCTAAGCAGCGGCCCGGGGTGGCTGCCAGAGGCGGGAGGATGGTGGATGGGAGAAGAAGCAACCCCCGCCTCGGCTCGCCGACTCCGCAGTCCCCGCCGCCCCCGCCGGCCAGTCCTGACAAAGGGGCCTGTCTGCGCTGAGCGATGGGCCCCAGTTAATTCCTTACCGATCCCGTCCCCTTCCGCTGCCGCCTTTGGACCCGAACAATTAGCTGCGGCCTGATTAATGGGGGGAAATTATCGGTCCCGCGGGATCCCCTCCCCCCGCACAGGGAGCAGAGGAAGGCAGGGACCTGAGGGAAGCAGAGCTGGGAGGAAGGGGGCGCTAGGATCTGCTGAGACCACCCTACCCCACCCCCCAGTGGAGGGGAGACCAGGAGGAAGGGGCAGGGAGGAGACGTTGGGACCAGAATGACCGGGCCTTTCTGGGGAGCCAAAGGACCTGGAGCCCCACGGAGGGTTCCTGGTTAGGAAGGGACCCGAAAGGGGTTCTGGGCCTGCGGTGGGGGCCTGAGAGACTTTGGCCAGCAGCTGCACTAAGGGAGGGGGGCAGTGAAGCCAGTTAATTAGCAGCTTATCAGGCCGCACTCGTGGAGTGAGTTAATTAGCTTTGTAGAGAGAGATAATGAGTCAGTCTTCCGACCCATGAATCTGGGGAGAAGCCTAAGTGATGGACTGCCGCCCAGGCTGATCCCCTCCTGGACCCTTCTTGCATTCACTTCTGGCTCTGAGATTCCCGGAAAGGAATTCCTTCTCCACAGCCCCTGCCTACCCCTTGAGAAGTCCTCCCTTCAGTCTAATTCCAGTCCTTCCTGATGCAGAACACCTTGGGTGTTTCCTGCCTGAAGCAAGGGGAAACTGAGGAGAGACAAGGCTGGAAGAGGACCAAGGCATTCCGATCCCACTCCCCCAATTCTGGGAACCCCCCCCCACCCCAGGCCAGCCTCCTGCCAGTTCCCCCTCCCACCCTCCCAATTGATCCCACACTCATTAACCTGCCAGTGGGCTGGCCACTAATTAATCCCTGGGTGGAGAAGGGGGGCAGGGTCAGAGGTTAAAGACGCTGTTGAGGGCCCAAAGGATACATGCTGCCAAGCCCAGGCCTCTGCAAAGAGGACCCAAACTGAGGACTAAACCCTGGGGTTTCCCTTCCTCAAGCCTGGTAAGTGGGGGTCCTTCCCTTACATCAACCCACTCACCCCTCTTCTGCATGAAGCTAAACAGGTCATCCAGAAATTCTTTCCTCTTGGGGTCTGCATCGAGCTCGTACAGCTGGGGAAAAACTGAGGTCATTTTCCAGCTCTGCTACCCAGCCCCCACCCCACCCCGGGACCCTTTGGACTCCAACCCCCAGATTAAGGATCCCCAGCTGAAGGGGTAAGTAAGTTCTGAAATGTAGACTTCCTGAGAGAGCATTGGGTTCTCTCCCCTGGGGGCAGGTGTGGGCACTTTTTTTCCTGATACACAGAGACCCCTCTACTGGCCAGTGGTGCCCTGGGCAGCTCAAACCACCCATCTGGGAAGTAGGGGAAGAGAGAAAGCTACGGAGGCTTAGCCTGCCTTCCAGAGCCCCTGGGAGGAAGTCAGGCTGGCGCTGTGTTCCACATTGAGGAAACCGAAGATATATCTGAGCCACTCGTTCACTCATTCATACCTGCAAGGGCTTCTTGCTGTTCACATGTTTGTGTGCCAGGGGTGGGGATGAGGGGCAGAGATGCCTCTAACCCATCCCTCAGGAAAGGTGGATGCTCAGAAAAGCTCCTGGATGGAAACCTTGGGCCCCTCAGCCCACATATCTTCCAGGAACAGCTTCCTGCACTACAGAAGCTGCCCCACAGAGGCAATGGCCCTGAACCACCCAGGATCTGTAGGGTCAGGACTTGAAAGGTCCAGGGGTTATCCCACCTATTCTCAGTCACCTGGAGCTCTACTTCCAGTATCAGCTCTCAAATACCCCCCAGGAGGGACAATCCCTAAAGTAACAGAGTCTTTTACCCAGAGTGACAGTCCCTGCATAACACCCATAGGTAACACTCCACCTGCCAATAAGAACTCTCAGAGCAAAAAAACACCCATGAGTAACAAACCCCAAAGATGCACCTTTAGATCTACACTCCCACAAGAACTGAGCCCTACGTCTTAAATGGATACCCACAAAAAACACACACAGTCTCCAAGTAATAATCCCCAGAATTACACCCAGGAGAAACAGTCGCTAGAGTCACATCTCCAGAGTAACAGAGCCCCGAGTAACACTATCAGTTTTACACTAACACCACAGAGTCTAAGCATAGATGAACACTTCTGGAAAATACCCAAAACCAACACCCTACAAGTAACACCACCAGAATAGCACACCTAGAATCTCAGCCCTGCATAACATCTTCTTAATGACAGCCTAGAGTAGTGCCTTCGAATAACGTCCAGATGGGTTCCGCAGGGATGAAGAACCTCAAATTAAGGCCCTGTGAGTAAGGTCTTATCATTCCCAGCTGTACAGGAGCCTTTTAGTCACACTGCGGCTGTAGTGGCCATCACAGGCTGGGAACTGTCACCCATAGAACTCAGGCCAGGGAGAGGACATGGGTGGGGAGAATGTGACAAGGAAGAGATGAGGTGGGTATCAGCTTGCCAAAGGAGCGGCAACCTCCATTCCACTTCCAAGACAGAAGTAGACAGCCCAGGACACCCCCACTGGTCACTGGAATATGACCTTGTGACTTGATGTGTGAGAAGGTATGGTAGTGCTGGCACTGGAATCCCCAGATCCCCCTCCCTCAGAATCCTTGAAGGCTCCTGCACCCCTCCCACTTTCCCTTCCAGCTTCACCAAGAGCCTCCAGTCTGTCAGCCTCCATGTTTCTGGGCGTCTCCTGCACCTCACGGTGTGTGCCTACGCACTTCTTTCCATGTCTCAGTATGTCTGTCTCTCCCTCCCAGTCCCCGTCTAGCCTTCAGTCTTCCCACTGTCTCTCTCCAGGTCTCTATGTCTCTGTCTTTCCATCCTGCAGAGCGCAGTGGGGTGGGGGTGGGGGGCTACGGATCACCTTGCTCTGCTTTTGCCCAGAGAGTAGGAAGGGGGAGGGCCTGACACTGAGAGGGTCCTACCTGCTTGAACTGCTCCTCATAGGTCCACTCATGGGGATGAGGTCCAGGGGGCTGGCTGGAAGGTGAGCTGGTGCCCCGGGTCCCTGGGTGGCTCTCCTCGGCTGCCACCTCTTCTGTGCCAGCTTCCTCTCCTTCCTCATCCTCTTGGGCATCCTCCTCTTCCTCAGCTCCAACCTCCCCCAAGGCCCCGTCGGGGGCCTGCAGGGTCCGGGATCCAGGAAAGGAAGGCCGCGGCGGCGGTGGTGGTGGTGGGCGTGGAGGGGCCAAAGGCCCCACCCCCTGGGCCAGTCGGGCTGCCTGCTGTCTCTGCAGGGCCTCCATTACAGCTTCCAGGCGCAGTCCCCCCACTGGTGGGCCGGCTGGCACCAGGCGCTGCCCTGAGGAAAGGGCTGCCTGTGGAGGAGAGAATTATGCGTGTTGCACCCACTCCCCCAAAGCCCCCAACACAAGGGGAGGTGGTTATGGATTCAGGGAAGTGCAGGGGGGCCATAAGGAAAAAGACAGAAAGACAGCTTTCTCAGAGGTGGACAGAGAGGTAAAAAGAGCAGGAGAGACAGAGACCAGACCCAAAGAGACAGAAACAGACGTTGACCGAGGACAGGTAGAGACTGAGCAGATCAAAGAGGGTGACAGGGACCAAGAAACAGAGAGAGATGGAGGAGAGAGAGATCCAACAGAGAGGGAGAGAGACAATGACAGGGAGATATGGGGATAGAAATGAGAGATGGCGAGAGACAAGAGACTGAGAGGGACCAAGGTGGAGGGTGACAGAAATATCAGACAGAGACAAGAATGGAGAAACAGAGACGGGGAGAGATGAGATTGATAGAGATATCCGGTAGAGAGACCGGGAAGGTAAGAGAGAGAGAGGAGCAAGAGATAAATATCAAAGACCTGGGTGACAAGCAGTCCAGGGAGACTGACAGACAGACAGAGGCAGAGGGAGACAAATACTGAGGCCGGGGTTGAGAGAGAACAGGCAAAGACCGACGCAGCAGGAGACAGAGACAGAAGAAAGAGATTAGAAATAGAGACCGGGCAAGACAGTAAATAGAGAGGGACAGAGACAGGGAAAACAGACGGAGAGACGGGGCAGAGACGCAGAGGACTAGAACCGAGGAGGAGAGGGAACAGAGGATGCCGGGGGTAGAGCCCGGGACGGGGACAGCAGCGTCTCCACGCCCGCTCTCTGGCTCCCCGCGGCCACACTCACCAGCCTGGCGCGGCCCGCTGCCCCCGGCGTCTCCACGGCGCTCCCTCCGCTCAGCCCGCCTGTCGGGCGGCCCCTGTCTCAGCTCGGTTCCCTGTGCGGGGCCCCTGCCGTGCGCTCCTGCAGTCGCGCGCTCCTCTCGCCGCGGGGCGCTCACTTGCTGCTCTGCCGGCTGCGGCCGCGGGGGCGGGACCCGCGAGGGGCAGGGCGGGCGGGGGCGCAGCGGAAGAGGCCCCGGTGGGCTCTGACGCTTCCAGCCCCCCAACAGGTGTCTCCCACCCTCCATACAGCCAGATTCGGGGGTGGGGGGGAGAGGGCGCTGGAGTGCTGCTGGGAATCGTGCAAAGGAGAGTGAGGAGTCCACCACCACCGAACTCCGGAGCAGGGCCCCTCTCAGCCTCACAAGTCAGGGGAGGGGGGGTCCCCACACCCTTACTCAGTGCCTGGCATCCACATACAAACATTCGTGTTCACACACCAACACACCCTGTCACAAGTTCAAGGTACACAGCCGCTCTATCTCACATACTTGGTTATATAAATACTACAGCGCCAAAGGCCTGGACAGGCTGTGATCTGAGGGGACTCACTCTGTGGGGTGCTGGGGTGAGACTGGAGGGCTTGGGCAGAACAGAAGCTTCTCCCCTGCCCTGCCCAGGTGCTGTCCCCAACTGCACGCACGCTGCAGTTTGCACAATACACGCACATGGTGGTGAACTCACTTCTGCACCCACACACTCAGAGGTCTCTGAGCTCATTCCACACCAGCAGCAGGGCACACATACCACCTGCAGGTACAAAGCCACACGGCTTTTAGCTCATTTGACGTTCTATTATGGAAATTTTCAAACATATACCCAAGAAGAGTGAATAATATAATGAACCTCTGGCAATCCTCAGAATTTCAATAGTGATCAGCATTTTGCCCATCTTCACATACATCCTCCACCCATGTTTGCATGACTCCCCAATCTCTAGCTCCAGACACCTTTAGCCAACTGCTCCAGGCCCACCCTACTCCCAGTTATCCTCCAGATGCTGAGATGCTGTTCCTCAGCAGCCCTGGACCCCACTCCTGTTAAGCACCCTCATCCGTTCCCCAGTTTCTTCCTGTGCGGAAGGGAATCGACCTACTAAAAGCATTGAGAGTCACCGGGAGGTGATGCCAAGTGTGTGAGTGAACAACACGCCTCTGTAGGAGTGATACCTGGCATAGGTGTGAAACTCTGCTGTATCAAACTCAGCACCAGGGAGCACCACCTGACCTCATTCATACCCAGTGAGGCACACTGGTCTCAGGGCCAAGATTCCTCTAGGGGGCAGAAATTCAGAGGTAACTTTTGCCTCCTCCCCAACCCTCTCCCAATGAGTCTGCTCCTCTCAGACCCAGCTTGCCCTGGTCTGGACCACCAGCTCTTCTCACCAGGATCTTGTGGTGGGTGACAGCCCCCTGCTCTGTCTCCAGCCTCCACCCTTGTCCCCAGCCCAGCTCCCACTGTGGCACTAAGTCCACATTCTCTGTGGCCCATCTCTGGCCAGCCACACTGAGGCTCAGTCCTGCTCACACTCCAGTGCCCACCCGCTCAGATTTCAGGTCTGACAGCCAGTCAGATCCCACTTCCATCAAGAGGCATTGGTGATCCAACCACCTTCAGATCCAATGCCCCTGCCCCCATAGCTTGGTGTGGTATAAGTTCTCCTGGGGCAGAGTCCAGCCCTCTCTGCTGCCATCCCTCTCCAAGGCAACTCCTGTGCTCAGCTTGCCTCCCAACTGCGCCCCCCACCCAGCTTCCCTAGCTGCTCAGAAGAGAGAAAGTGCCTGGAGAGAGATGAAGTTAAGATTCCTGTTGGAAAGGTAGGAACTGGCTTGGGGACATTCCAGTTGAGGGTTTGGAGATTGCTTTGGAGGGGGTGGAGAGGGGCAAGGGACTTGGACGCTACTCCCAAAAGAAAAGAATCAATCAAGCATAGTAAATTCACCTTTGGGGTCTGAGCCAGGAGGGTACAACTGGGGAGGGCAAAGGGGAAGGAATAACCTGACTGGAACCTGGTTTCTCTCCCTCTCCATCTGTGAAGAGGAAAGGCTGTCTCAAACCCACACATAGCCCCCTCTGATCCTATACCTCACAGAGACAGACAGACTGACCTAGACATCCATTAATCCAACACATACTTACTGAGCACTTACTTTATGCAAGGCACTGTTGGACACAGGAGTAAATAAAACAAAGTCCTTATTATAATGGCATAATTCCAGTGGGGGAAATGTATATTGTGTCACATGGTGATAAGTAAAATGTAGAAAAATAAATCTGAGTTGGGGGGAATAGAAAGGGAAGGGTGCCATTAGTTACCTATTGCTGTGCAACAAATTACACTCAAACTTAGAAGCTTGAAAAAACATCTATGTTTTCACAATTCTGTGGATTGGGAATTCGAGAGTGGCTTAGATGAGTGGTGGTGTCTTTCATGAGGTTGTAGTAAACATGTTGGCTAGGGCTGCAGTCATCTGAAGATTTGACTGGGACTGGAAGATCCACTTTGCTCACATGCTCTGTTGGCAGGAGGCTGTTCTCCCTAGGTGGGCCTCTCCATGGGAGAGGACCTCATACCAGAGTGTCCTCCCAACATGGCAGTTGGTTTCCCCCGGAGAGAGTGACTAAAGAGGGAAGAGTGCTTTTTATGGCCTAGTTTTAGAAGTCTCACACTGTCACTTCTGCCATATATTAGTTGTTAAAAGTACATAACTAAGTCCAGCCTGCATTCAAGGGGAACGGAATTAGGCTTCACTTGTTAAAGGGAAGAGTATAAAAAATTATATGGAGGTATTTCATTTTATTTATTTATTTATTTGGTTGTGTTGGGTCTTAGTTGCAGCAGGTGGGCTCCTTAGTTGCGGCTCGCTGGCTTCTTAGTTGCGGCATGTGAACTCTTAGTTGAAGCATGCATGTGGGATCTAGTTCCCTGACCAGGCATCGAACCTGGGCCCCCTGCATTGGGAGCTTGGAGTCTTAACCACTGCGCCACCAGGGATGTCCCCTGGAGGTATTTTAAAACCAACACAGAAGGGCTGATATTACCCAAATGTTAAGGGAAGGACTCGCTGAGCAGAAACTGAAGGAGGGGAGGAAAAGCCATGCAGTCAGGAGAATAGCAGGTGCAAATATCCTGAGGTGGAAGTGTGATGTGTCAGAAGAAAAGCAAAGAGGCCACTGGGCTAGAACACAATGGCCAAGGTGTACGGTTGGATGTTTGGTCAGAGGTAACATAGACCTTGGAGCAGGTTCTTGGAGGCAGTGAAAGGACTGAATGAGATGGGAAGCATTGCAAATGTCTGAGCAAAGACTGAAAGTCTGACTCTGGCTGTTGTGTGGAGAACCCTCCACAAGGGATGCAAGCATGAGGCTCAATTAGGAGGCCTTTGCAGTAATCCAGGCAAGAGATGATGCTGGCTTGGACCAGGGTGATAGCAGTGGGGGTGGCAAGAAGTGGTTAGATTCTGAATATGTTTTGAAGATAAACCAGACACGATCTGTTGATATCTTGAATGTAGAATGTGACAGAATGGGAGGTATCCAAGATGACTCCAAGGTGTTTTGGCCTAGGCAGCTGGGTAAATGGAGTTACCCTTAACTGAGGCAGTAAAGACTACAGGAGGTGCAGGATTGGGAGAGAAATCAGTTCGCATTGAACACTTTAAGTTTGAGATGCCAATTAGATGACCAAGTGGAGATGTCAAGTGGAGATGAAAGTGGTCAGATATCTGAATCGAGCTCAGAGGAGGTTTAGACTGAGACAAAATATTAGGCATAAGGTACATAGATGGTCCTCAAGATCAAACCATGTTGTTGCAAATAGCAGGGTTTCCTTCTTTTTCATGGCTGAATAATATTCCATTGTAGATATATACCACATTTTCTTTATTCATTCATCCTTGAGGGCATTATGCTAAGTGAAATAATCAGATAAAGACAACTGTTGTATGTTCTCACTTATATGTGGAATCTAAAAACAAACAAACAGGGCTTCCCTGGTGGCGCAGTGGTTGAGAGTCCGCCTGCCAATCCAGGGGACACAGGTTTGTGCCCTGGTCCGGGAGGATCCCATATGCCGTGGAGCGGCTGGGCCCGTGAGCCATGGCCGCTGAGCCTGCGCGTCTGGAGCCTGTGCTCCTCGACGGGAGAGGCCACAACAGTGAGAGGCCCATGTACCACACACACACACAAAATAATAATAATAAAAATAAAAACAAACAAAAAGACTCAAGTCACAGAAACAGAGAACAGATTGGTGGTTGCCAGAGGCCAGGGGTGAGGCAGGGCCAGGGGGAAAATGGGTGAAGGTGGTCAAAAGGTAAACTTCCAGTTTTAAGATAAGTAAGTCCTGGGGATGTAACGTACAGCATGACTATAGTCAACAGTACTATATCGTATATCTGAAAGTTGCTAAGAGAGCAGGTCTTGAAAGTGCTCATCACAGGAAAAAGCTTTGTAACTATGTGAGGTGATGGATGTTAACTAAACTTATTGTGGTAATCATTTCACAATATAGACATATATGAAATCATTATGTTGTATACCTTAAACTAACAAAATTTTACATGTCAATTGTATCTCAGTAAGACTAGTATATAGACATATAGATGGTATTTATCTATTTATTTATGGCCACACCGTGGGGATCTTAGTTCCCTGGCCAGGGATTGAACCTGGGCCCCAGCAGTGGAAGCATCCAGTCCTAACCATTGGACCTCCAGGGAATTCCCTAGATGGTATTTAAAGTCATGAAATGGTTGAGATCACCTCAGAGCAGTGTAAACCTGGGAAGTGAGAGGCTGAGGAAATGAGCCAGATCTAGCAAAGGAGGCAATGAAGGAAGAGAGCAGTGTCCTGTAAGCCACAGGAGTCTTTTAAGAGTAACTGTGTCAAATGAAAGTGAGAAGAAATAAACACTGGACTTAGCAACAGAGATGGGGAGGGGCCTGGGAGCCTAGTCCTATGTGAAAGGTAGGGATGACAAAGGGAGCTGAGGCATCCCTAACAGATGGGGGCTCTAAGCCTAGAGGCAAAGCTGGGTTACAGGGTGGGAGAAATCCTGAGGCTTGGCTTTGCAACCTGTGATCAAACGGAGAGGCTCCAGACAGGACCTGTCATGGCCAACACTGTGGTGGTGGTAAGGTGTCAGGATGGCCACCTTGCCTGGGCCTCACATTCATTCTGAGCCACATATTTAGACTTTTGATGTTGCTTCCAGATGGTTATACATGTAGTCTTTTATATTTTTACTCATTAGAATATCAAATTTTTAGAATGTACATTTTTTTATAATCATGTTCCTTCCATTTTTAATATAACAGAATCCTAAGAAGTGAGAGGCCTGGGCCTTGCTCATCTTCAGAACAGGGCCAGGAGGAGGGTGAGGCAAGTGCAGGACCCTTGGGAGTGTGTACTTCAGGCACCTCTCTGGCCTCATCCTAGCCCCAGCCCCCCACTACCTTAAACACCACCAGATAGTGTGCCTGCTCCCCAGCCCCGGGAGCCTCCACGGAAGTGGGGAGTCCTGGAAAAGGCAGACTGGAGAGAAAGAACTCCTGCTCTGGGTGGACGTGGACATGATACCCTGGAAACCTAGAAAAAAGGAGTTGGAGAGTGACTATGCCTTTCAGCCCAAAAGTGGCTGCACACTGCCACCCCGTGGTCATCCAGGGCAGGAGTCCCGGGACTGTGCCCAGAACAGCACTGGCAGAGAGGAGACCAAGAGCAAGACACACACCACCTCACCCAGCCATGAATTCCTGAAATTGTGGCATTCAAACCTGGTGGAGAGAATCTTATTAAACATGCAGATCTCAAGGCCTCAACCCAGAACTGATCTCTGGGGATTGGGCACAATAATCTGTAGAGTCAACGAGCCTGCCAGGTGATTCCTGGGAACACTGAAGTATACAGTAAAAAGCTGCTGTCATAAACTGAATCACACAAGGGAGAGGCCTTCCTGAGGCCCCCAGGAGTTAGAGGTCCTCCTGCTGCTCAGACACGAAAAGAAATGAAACTGTTCAACAGGTCTTTATTGACAGACACAGATAGATGGACAGAGAATGCAGCAAAGGCAGTGTCTGGAAGCTGTAGTAAGTGTCTGTGTGTGTGCGTGCAGAAAAGGCTTTCTCTAGGCCAGCGGCAACCCCTTGGACCTGGGCCCACCTGTCTAGGTCCTCACCCCAGCACTGGGCCCTCAGCTGAGGCCAGCCTCCCCATTATACCCTGGAGGGAGGTATAACCTCAGCATTTGCCACATTCTTCTGGTTCTCCAGCTAACTTGGTTGCGAGGGTGGGGACAGGCCATGAGGGTACTTGCATAGCAGGGGAACAGAATGGGGTAAGGCATATGGTGAGGACAAGGAGATGAAGGGGAAGGGCATCACAGCTGCAGGTGAAGGGAGCCTCCACAGGCAGCTCCTCTTCTCCCTCATCCCCCCCAATGGCTGCTGGGTTGAAGGGTCAGACCCAGGCAGTTTGTAATAGCCACCCCCATCCCTAACTCCAGAGCCTGACTAGGGGCAGAGAAGCTCTGGAAAGGCCTGAGTTAGTGAGTCGAGCTTGTGGGATATGTGCTCGAACATGACTGGCCCCTTTGGTATACGTGGGGGTCCCTCTCTGCATGGGTGTGAATGCGTAATGCTGCCGTACACACAGGATTCAGTATCTGAATGTGTGTCCCATGTGTTCCCATGACTATGTTTGGTTGTATGCATGTGTGTCCCTGCTCATACACCAGGAACTCAGTATCTGCATGTTGTGAGTATGTCCATGTCTTTTCACGTGGGCTCCAGCAAGTGGATGTGTGCAGGCCTGCCCGCTCCTGTCCATCCACAGGTCCTCCTTCAGGCCTGGCTGGTCAGGCGTCCTGGCCAAAGAGGTAGGTGGTGAGTTCAAGCCGGAGGCCCCGGGCATAGGCTTGAAGAGTATAGAAGAGGGTGAGGAAGTCCTGGGTGCTGAAGATTGTGTCAGCCAGCGCGAAGGCCAGGGTAGATGGGATGACACCCCGGCCGTACTCCACCATCCATGTGTTTGGCCCCCACTCCACAGCCGTTGCCTCACCAGGCCCGTGCACCACTGTCTCCCCTGGGGGGACAGGGAACACCCACATGAAGAGCCTGGCCCTGCCCTCCCATTGCCACCACCTCCCTAGCCTGTGGGCTCTCTAGGGGTAGGGAATGCAGAGGGAGCTTCAGGAAAGGAAAAGCCTTACCTCACTGGCCTGGCTGCCCATCTGCAAGGGTACGAGGCTAAGGTGGCCACTCTTAAACTTTCCTGTGTGGCATCACCTGGCTCATGTCCTCTCTTGGGGGAAGCTTCACCTGGCCCTGCACCATTGTTTGGGAGTCATGGAGGTCTGTATTCCCAAGCCTAACTCATGTCAAGCAGAAGTTTAGCTAAACTTGGGCCTGTTAGATAGGGAGAGGTGAATATAAGACCTGCCAGGCTTTCTGAGAAATGTACCTGTTCAGTTACAATGTCATAACTTGTAATATGCTTGTATATTCGTAACTTGTAATATGCTTGTCGTAACTTGTAATATGCTTGTAATATTCAACCTCAAACTTACTTATAAGTCCAAATGTTTCATTATACGCAAGAGGGAAGACAACTGTCTGCCTTGTCTTTGGGGGCATGAGAGCATTTCTGATCTCCCCAACAACTGCTGGAATACTGGATCATTAAAATCAGACGTGGTTAACAGGGAGCTGTTATGTTTTGTTTCCATTTGACAGAGGAAGGCAACAGAGACCCTGAACCCTGCCTCAACCAACCACCTGGGGCTTAACTA